CCCTTGGAGCTACTGTATAGTACTCATATAGCATTGAATTCACCCCATCTTGGAAGGCCAGAGGACTTTATGCAGCCTATCACAGCCTTTGAGTGGTGCATAGAGCATTGAGTATGTCCTATCAACTGCAGTGAATTTATTTCAAAATACTGCAGTTTTCAACCAAGCTTTGCAAGAGTCAGCCTTCCTCTGCAGCATGGGGCATGGGTTACTTGCAGGTTTAAACTAGTGTAAATGGTGGATTCTCTGCAAATTGAAGTCTTGATTTAAAGATTTTAGGACTTCAGTAACTGAGCCAGAGGTTATGGGTCTATTACAGGAGTGGGTGAGCAAGGTTCTGTGGCCTGCAATGTGCAGGAGGTCAGACTAGATGATCACGGTGATCCCTTCTGCGTAGGGTTGCCAACTTTCTAATTGCACAAAACCAAATACCCTTGCCTCGCCCCTTCTCCGAGGCCCCACCCCACTCACTCCATCCTCCCTCCCTCCATCGCTTGCTCTCCTCCACACTCACTCACTCATTTTCACCGGGCTGGGGAGGGTCCCTTTTCGACCAGGTGTTCCGGTTGAAAACGGGATACCTGGAAACCCTAAATAAGACCCCCCACTTGGGCTTTCTGCAGGGATTTAAGTCTGGACCTCTCCATCTAACAGCATGAGCCTGGACTGCTTGTGGACCAGGTCCATTAGTTCAAACTTTTTTATGTGGTCCAGCCACTCAAAGGGGACTGTAACAGAATGGCTGCCACCCAAGCACCCCTTCTTGACCAGGCATGCCTCTTCAGTGTCCCCACCCTTGCTTTCCCCTTCTTCAGGGTTCCCTAAACCCCACACAGTCTTTCTCAATCAATCACAGACTTTCCTGGGGTCTGGTTTCTTTATTTACAAAGTTCCCCAAAAAACCAAACACAAAACAAATCTTCCACGCCACCTCCTCTCTGAGGTGCTGTCTGAGCAGCCAACTCCATTCTTCAGGGACCACTGCAGGAAATCTTCTACAGCTACAGTCCTCATCCTAGCTCTGCCCTCATGAGCTCCCTCAGACTCTTTATAGCCCAGCTGCAGCCCTGCCCCCTTAATTGGCTCAGCTGGGACTATCTGCTCTGGCACAGGGCAGCTGAACCTAATTTAATCACATGGGCCAGCCACCTTGTGACAGGGACAGAGATCTACACTAATGTGGGTTACAGCTGCATGCTGGCACGGGTCAGCAGATCTGCAGCCCCCAAAGAGAGAACACCACCAGACTGGGGCACCCAGTAAGGTGGAAACTGGGTGCCCCAGTCTGGCCCCTATCGAAACATCAGAGTCTCTCGTCTACAGGCCCACTGTGATATGGAGGGGAATCTAGTATGGTATCCACTGTGGCATCTGAACACCTATCAGGATATACGAGCAGCAAGAGTAGTCCTCAAACCAAGGCCTTTATGCTCCCTGACCAGCAATACCAGCTTAGCACACCCACCCTACTTCCCTCTCACACATTCATTGTTCCCACTTAGTTGAAAGAGGTGGTGCAGGGCATCTGTGTGGGTGCTGTACGCAACCAGAAAACAGACACACATCAACACTTCTTTTACCAGGCATATACTATGTGCACCTGTTTAGTGGGTGTCACTCTCCTTGCATTTGACAGAATTTTGACGCTTTGCACTTGACAGAAATCACGCTGTTACTGAACACTGCTGTATTAGAATACCAGCACGTTTTGCTTCAATCCAAATGACCCTTGATACAGAAAGTTAAGGGGCAGAGAGTGTGAAAAAAGTCTACATCCAAGAACATTTAAGAGTAAACTGCTGAAGGTGAAAGCCAAGAACTCAGTCATAATTCTTTTGGCATCCATGTATATATAAATCATTGAATTAAATGACTTACTGCAGGCCCTCTCGCTTTTAGGGAAAGGGGATGGTGATTCATAGACTGAAATAAGAATTTTATTCCTACCTTAATCCTCATTGGTTCTTGCAAGATTTCGTAAGAGCCAACAGTGTCCAAAACTGTACCACAAAGTTTAGGATGGATTTTTTTTTAATTTTTTTTTTTTTTGTATCTTAGAGTTTTGTACTGCTGCCCATCATAGTATCTGAGCACCTTCTGTGTAAAACTGATAGTATTAGTGAAGTCCCTGGTGGACTTCATGGAGTCAGGGTAAAATTTCTGCTTGGGGTCGGATTATGTTTTAGTCTGGTTCATTGATTGTTAGTTGAATTTTGTTTGTGTCTTTGATTTTGGATTGAGGGTTGTGTGTGTTTGGTTTTTTTAATAGGGGTAGAAGGGGAATAAATGTGGAGAGTGTTGTTCTTATGATAGAAAGGCTTACTCTGCAAAACCTTCCGCTTTTGAGAATCCTAACGATAGTCAGACTCTGGATTTGCCTGATCTCTTCTGCAAATTCATTCTATACCGCTGTATAAAATTCCTGTTACAGAGAAGAGTGAGAGTTCTAACAACAGCTGTAACAGTTTGAATCCCCTCTGGACAAAGAAATTGATTTTGGCTGTTTTCCTGTTCTTTATTCACTTGTTCCTAGGGGTTTCTTGTGCCTGTGACCTGGCCTTGGTACTAATTTCCCACATCTGCTACACACAGGCTGGTAAACAGTTCAGAAGTGGTGCTGGCTTTCTGAGGACCCCAGGGGATTATCACAGGAGTGCTTGTGCTAGTGATGGGTCGTTTAGAACAGCTATAACTGATGGGAGCTGGCCCATCAGTAACTATGGCAGATCTACTGGGAGCAGATAGAGGAGCTGAATAGGATAGAGAGAGGGAATGGCAGTTAATAATTGTTAGAACTGCGGCCCTGTTGTTTATGTAGCACATTATAGCTACATTTACGCAGTGGGATATTCCCTGAACACATGGTATTGCCCTCCCCCCATCCTCGCTAGCTCCTCTCATAGAGTCCAATGCAGCATCCTTTGTGGTGTTCATTTAATTCGTTATTTTTATCTAGCCTCAGGTTTTCACAGTGCTATAGATCTTTGTACTGAAATACACAGAAGCACTGTAGAAATTGTCAGGTGGATGCTGGAGTTTTCACAGCTGGACCGGACACACAAAGGGCTCTTGGCACCCAAGAAGAAGTGGGAAATGAAGTTTGTTTGTTTGCAGTATCCAAGAGGCGACTGAGTATTTTTTATTTTTTTTTTCCGCTTTGGACAGGAACAGAGATGATTTTAAATTTGAGGGAATGGAGGTTTGAATTCTGTGTTCCCATCACCAGAAGCCTTTGGCAGTAACAACGCGCTCTTGTTGGCAGCCTGTCCTGACATCTGCCCTTACACACACAAACAGTGGATAAGCACACAAGCTCGATGTTTCTGCTGAAATGAAAAGCAGTGAAATACTTAACATTGAAATTGTCATCATTAGGCTTCAGAGTTAGAAGCCCCTTTGAGATGAATGGCAGTCATTCACACTTCTCTTTTAGCAATTGCTCCATGCTGTCTGCAGATTGAGGAATATGCAGAGTTGTGCATTCCATTCCCATTTTAAAGCTTTTCTTTTCCACAATAAGGGCTAGAGACTTAATTTTTTTAAAATGAAAGCTTAGACTCTAGAGCAGTTACATGGTAATTTCCAAACAAAGGGGCATTGCGCAGCCATTTATGTGGCTGCATGATGACTTCTTAATGCACAGAATCAGGCTGGCTATAATCCTGAAGTCCCAGTGTCCAGCGTGAAGTGAAAGATCTTCATGTACACACTGGTCCATGGTGGAAGTGACTAAGCAAGTGATAATAGCACTGGTTTCTAAAGCTATTGACTTTAAAATTATTTTTCATTTCATTGTTTTTCATAGAATCATAGAATATCATGGTTGGAAGGGACCTCAGGAGGTCATCTAGTCCAACCCCCTGCTCAAAGCAGAACCAATCCCCAACTAAATCATCCCAGCCAGGGCTTTGTCAAGCCTGACCTTAAAAACCTCTAAGGAAGGAGATTCCACCACCTCCCTAGGTAACCCATTCCAGTGCTTCACCACCCTCCTAGTGAAAAAGTTTTTCCTAATATCCAACCTAAACCTCCCCCACTGCAACTTGAGACCATTACTCCTTGTTATGTCATCTTCTTTGGAACCCCCTTTCAGGTAGTTGAAAGGAGCTATCAAATCCCCCCTCATTCTTCTCTTCTGCAGACTAAACAATCCCAGTTCCCTCAGCCTCTCCTCATAAGTCATGTGCTTCAGCCCCCTAATCATTTTTGTTGCCCTCCGCTGGACTCTTTCCAATTTTTCCACATCTTTCTTGTAGTGTGGGGCCCAAAACTGGACACAGTACTCTAGATGAGGCCTCACCAATGTCGAATAGAGGGGAATGATCACGTCCCTTGATCTTCTGGCAATGCCCCTACTTATACAGCCCAAAATGCCGTTAGCCTTCTTGGCAACAAGGGCACACTGTCAACTCATATTTCCTCCAAAGTGGTAAATTTTGTAATGTTTCAAATTAAAAGTTCCTGATCATTTATTTTGTTGTAGTGCTGTGTGATGGGAAGGTCTGCCCCTTAAGGATAGTAGTGTCTAGTGGTCAGTCCACGCTGTCATATGGCATGGCCCTTTAAGGATCCAATAGAGAGAGATATAGAGACATAAGGGGGATAGAGCTAGAGGGAAAGTGTCTCTGGGAATGAATAGTGTTTGGAGAAGAGATCCTGTTACTGTCCCTTTAAGGCCCCAGGGCCAGGATCCTTGCAGAGAGGGTGGGGCAGGGCTCCCCTCTCACCCAGAAAAATGAGCTGGGAGACGGGGCCAGTGTAAATGCTGCCTCCTCCCTCAGAAGCAAGGTAGATAGGGGTATATGTTAGAATGGTAAATAAACCAGACCCTGCAAAGAGGGGTTGAAGTAACCTGGTCTGGGTAATTGTTTGAAAAGATCCAAAGGGTGCTGAATACAATCTCCCCTCAGGGCATAACAGGCCCATAATAGCATATTCCGGAGAGGCACGCCTTCATGGTATGCTGAATGTGTCTGAACTTTTATCATTGATTCCTCTAGGAGCTCCGATTGGCAGCTTATTTAACCAAACTGACAATGGTACCAGTGGGGATGTTGCACAGACTGCTGAACTTACTGCTGCCTTCGAGTTCACAGACTGAGCTTCTTTCTGTTCTGGATTCAATCAGCGACAAATATGCAGACAGTGTTATTGAAAGTGACATAAATGTGGAGGAAGCTGACAGCTGTAGAAAGAGGTAAGTGTGCGTCAGTTTATAGCTGAAAATTCCAACTGGAGGTTATTACTTTAAGGGAATATATATCCATTGGACAGACTGGAGCAGCAGTCAAGCAAATGAATGGGTTTTCCTGTTGAAATGTTATTTCTGAGGGGGAATAAATCATTTGAACTAGATAACTTTTTGATAGTTATAAATATCTTAACTACAATCTGACTTTACCAGAGGAAAAATGTGATCTGTATAATTCATAGATGTAACAACTCTTTCTTTGCTTTTAAATATTCTCCCTCCATTTTCTTATTTGCTACATTTTCTTTTGATGTATTTTATTGGTTTTAATTTGCATTTGCTTATCTATACATTCTTTTCACCATTTATTGTAGTAATATTTATACTAAGTCTAGCAGGCTGCAGGTGTTGTAAACTGATGCTGTGACACACTGAGGTAGGCAGTATATATGGAGTAAAAAAAATCTGTAAATTACAGTCAAACCTCAGAGTTACGGATGCCTTGGAATGGAGGTTGTTCGTAACTCTGAACAAGACGTTATGGGATGCTCCTCAGGGTAGACTGCTCGGAGCGGGGCTCACAGCTTTCAGTGGCTGCCTGGCGAGTGAGGGTGGGGACAGGCAGCTGGTTCTAGACCCCTGTCTGCAAGGGTGATGAGTGAGGCACCCTGGGGCACTGCAGTGTCAGTGGGTGCACAGTGCAGGCTGTGGCCCTTTAAAACTGAGCTGCTCCCCCAGAGCGCAGGATGCAGGCAGGAGCTCGGGCTCCAGCTCCAGCAGCTTACACTCCAGGCCAGGTTTCAGTAACAGCTTGGGAAGTTTCTTTCCCCGGGCTCTGAGCTTGCAAGCTTGTCCCCCTCCTAGCCGGGGGCAGAGGGGTGGAAAATAGCATTCACTACCTCCTACCTGTAAGTGGCTGCCCCATATTGTGGGGAGTAGGGGGTGGGGACAGGCAGCCAGATGTGCCTACCTTTAAGGTGCAATACAAGCACAGTACAGTACAGTATTTGCTGGCTTTTGTTTTGGGTTTTTTTGTCTCTGCTGCTGCCTGATAGCTTACTTCTGGTTCCCCATGGTGTCCGGTTGACCAGTCAGTCCATAACTCTGGTGTTTGTATCTTTGAGGTTCTACTGTAGTCCTTTCTAAAGTTTTTCATTTATTTTAAATATATGTGACCTTATGTGTAACAGGAAATAAAATGTAAACTAAGCAATAAATTGCAGTTTTACCCTCACAATTCTAAAAAAGCACTAAACACAGAAGCTCGAATTTGAACCTTTACACATATACAGGTACGTGGGGCTTTAGATCCAGACATGGTCTTAAGAGTCTGGTCTTCTGTGTTTGAACAAAAACCAGAAGGAGCTAAATTTTCAGTTCCGTTGCAGAGATGAAAACTCGCAAGAACAGCTGTGCTTACAAAATTTCAGCCCAGGATGATCGTGATCTCATGAGAGGAGTTAACCTAGCTAGATTTCCACTGTTTTGGCCTGTAAAAATCTTACATAATCAACTCTCATAAGATCACTGTCATTTTGGTCCAAGCAGTTAATGAGACTTCAGTATCATCATATAGAAACCCAGCTTTAGCAATCAATTCCCCTTTTAAGTCCTTGCAAGAAACACCATAGATCCATCCCTGGCCAGCCTTTCATCAGGTTGGACAGAACAAAGTGTGTGGCTCTCCCTGAATCCTATAGGGTAATATAAACACACTACATAGTGGGCAGGGCTGTGTTAGGTTTTGCAGAAATCTTTAAAGTGTGCACAGAGCATACTCAATAACCAACTGTTAATTGCTTATAACTTTTCTATTTTAGGCCCCCGTCTCCAAAAAAGTCCATGTAAACAAATTCTTGTGTCCCACCTAAGTCCCATTCAAGCAAGTGGGACTCCATGCTTATGCAGATGCTTTTGCCATATAGGGATTTTAATTTTTTCTTGAAGTGCTTGCTCATGTCAATTCCATTCTAGATGTGCGCACGCCCACGTGCACAGTCGTCAGAGATTTTTGCCTTAGCGGTATCTGTAGGGTCAGCTATGACGCCGCCTTGAGTGCTGCGCTCATGCACTGGTATATTAGGCGCCACTGACCCGACACCCTCTCAGGTCCTTCTTATCGCCCATGACTGGCAGTGCAAGAGCGTTAGTGGTTCTTTACAACCCATTGTCTATCTTCTTTGTTTACAGTTTGTTGGTACTTAGTTAGCCATTAAGTTAACTCTTAGGTTAGTTCAGCAATTAGAGTCCCGGCTGGGACTTCGCCCTGGAGTGGGGCCTGCCCAGTTCCCCTGGCGTCAAACCATGCTCATCATGCAACAGGCTGGTGCCTATCAGTAATGCCCATGACAGCTGTGTGAAGTGCTTGGGGGAGTCCCAGAGGAAGGACAAGTGCAGAATCTGTAAGAACTTTTGCCCTACAACTCAGAAGGATCAGGATATCTGCTTGAGGGCCCTCCTCCTGGAGGCTGCACTTCATCCTGCATCAGAGCCCTCCCACTCAGATCCTGCGCCTAGCACCTTGGCATCCGCCCAGTACCATTTTCCCTCACCAGTGCCTAAGAAGCTGCAAAAGAAAAAGAAGAGCCCCCCCAGCACCAGAGGGAAAAGGGGCTTCTGGCAAAGGACCTATGTCAGGCCATGTGCCTGCCCTGGAGCTTAATGAGGGTACCGCTGCAATCAGACCCCATAACCTGGCCAGGTATCTGACTCCTGGGAGCGGCAGGGGACCCTGGCTTCTCCTGGGCCCTCGTTGCCCAAAGTGGCCCCGGTGGCTAAAGATCAAGCAGGCCAGCCAGCACCACAGACGCCACACCAGGTGCCAGATTCGGCTAAGACCCCAACACTTAAGGCCAGTCATGGGACTGCCCCATAGGGCAGTGGAGCATCCTCGGTCCCCAGACCGCAGGCGTGGATCCCCATCTCCACATCCTAGGACCCTGGCACCGCACACTCAGTCTCCGGTCAGAAGGCCCAGGTCCCTGATGCCGTGCTCTCCCCCAGCGAGGCATGGGACACCGGAGTCAAGGCACAAGTCTCTGTACCTCCAGTACCGGCGAGCTTCCAGCCTAAGATCACTGCAGTGCAGGTCACCCTAACGGTCTCCCAGACCATTTGAGGGGGCAGGGCTCTTCTCCAAACTCACGGACGCAAGGCTCCACAGCCTTAAAGACTCCCAAGCAACCCTTCATTCCTTGGGCCTTCGTACCCCTCTGCAGACCAGGAAGTCGTTCCGTCCTCCTCCTCCTCCATCTCCCCAGTCTAGGTCCTGGGGACCTCCCCGGTTGAGCACCTAGAGGAAAAAGGAGAGAGACAAGGGGTCAAAGTGGCGTTACCTGTCATCTTTCCGTTCATCTGCTCAGCCTGGCCCTTCCAGGAACAAAGGAGGCCAGAAGCAGGCATTTTGACAGTGCACACGTGGTCGACGCCCCAGTCATGTCCCAGGATCCACCCTCCTACTCTTTCCTCAACTGCCTGTGCCCCTTCCGGTCGGCCTGGTTGCAGCTGACCTCAGACGGTTGGGTAATACCCAAATATAGTATGTCAATATAACACCCTGCAGTTCATGTCCGACCCTCCCTCCTACCCCTCTGCCTCGTCCCTCTTCAGGGATTCTTCTCAGTAGCAACTTCTCATTCAGGAGGTCGAGAACCTCCTGTGCCTGGGGGCGATGGAGGAGGTCCCTCGCGACATGAAAGGGAAAGGGTTCTACTCCCACTATTTCCTAATCCTGAAAGCAAAAAGGGGGCCTCAGACCCATTCTGGACCTGCGTTGCCTCAACAAGTCTCTCAAGAAGTTGAAGATTTGCACGGTCTCCCTGGCCTCCATCATCCCCTCCGTGGCTCCAGGAGGCTGGTATGCCGCCCTCAACTTGAAGGATGCGTATTTCCATTTTCCCAGGACACAGATGCGGTGGCCCGGGTGGCTAAAGATCAAGCAGGCCAGCCGGCACCGCAGGCGCCACACCAGGCGCCAGATTCTGCTGTCCCAAAGCCACCCGGTCTTCTGCATCCGAACCTGGCAGTGCTGCAGCTGATGGCTTGGCTGCTGCATGGTTAATGCAGAGGAGGAGCAGGAGGGCTTGGCTGGTGTCCAACAGGTCCTGTTGGGCAGTAGAAAGCCCTCCACCAGAGCGACCCACCTGGCCAAATGGAAGTGGTTCGCTTGTTGGACTTCGAATAAAGGCATTCAGCCCAAGTGGGCGTCGCTGCAGTTAATCCTGGACTACCTTCTGCATCACAAGCTCCAAGGCCTGTCCCTTTCATCTATTAAAGTCCACTATCTCGGCCTTCCATCCGCCCCTCGAGGATAGGTCGGTTTTCACCCAGGACATGACTGAGTTTTCTCAAGGGCCTTGAGCACCTCTACTCACACGTCAGGGACTCCGTCCCTCTGTTGAACCTGAATCTTGTGCTATCACATCTCATGGGACCCCCTCTTTGACTCATGGAACCCCCTGCTCTCTCCTCCTTTCTTGGTTGCAATAACATCGACCCGCAGGGTCTCTGAGATTTAGGGTGCTTACCTCGGAACTGCTCTATATGGTCTTTTACAAAGACACGGTCCACACCCAGCTTTCCTGCTCAAAGTGGTCTCTCAGTTTCATACGGGTCAGGACAGTTACTTACCTGTCTTTTTTCCAAAGCCACATAGGTTGGAGGAGGAGCGTAGGTTGCATTCCCTAGACATCAGGAGGCTGCTAGCCTTCTACATTGAAAGGATCAAGCCATTCCGCAAGTCGATGCAATTGTTACTCACGGTGGCTGACAGGATGAAAGGTCGTCCAGTGTCTGCTCAAAGAATTTCTTCTTGGATCACTGCCTGCATTTGCTGCTGCTACAGTCAGGCAAAGGTGCCCCCTCTGGCAGTTGTAACCGCCCATTCAACAAGGGTGCAAGCCTCTTCGGCAGCTTTCCTAGCCCAGGTGCCTATCCAGGACATCTGTAGGGTGGCCACGTGGTCGTCCGGCCACATGTTCACGTTCCATTATGCACTTACCCAGCAGGCCTGGGACAATGCTGGCTTCGGTAGAGCAGTGCTGCAAGCTGCAAGTGGGCCCATGAACTATGAGCCCATCTCCAAGGATACTGCTTGTGAGTCACCTACAATGGAAGCAACATCAGCAAGCACTCGAAGAAAAAACGGTTACCTACCTTTTCTTAACTCTTGTTCTTCGAGATGTGTTGCTCATATCCATTCCATTACCCTACCCCACTGTTGGAGTTGCCAGCAAGAAGGAACTGAGAGGGAGTAGGGTCGGTGGTGCCTAATATACCAGCAGAATGAGCACAGCACTCAAGGGGGCGCCACAGCTGACCCTACAGATACAGCTAAGGCAAAAATCTCCCATGACTGTGCACATGGGCACACACACTAGGATGACCAGATAGCAAGTGTGAAAAATCAGGATGGGAGTGGGGGGGTAATAGGTGCCTATATAAGAAAAAGCCCCGAATATCGGGACTTTCCCTATAAAATCGGGACATCTGGTCACCCTAACACACACACCTAGAATGGAATGGACGGAAGGAACACATCTCGAAGAACAACAGTTACGAAAAGGTAGGTAATTGCTAGATTTAAAAGAAAAAACAAAACAAAGTGACAATACCTCATGGAGAACTAGCTGTATTCCAAGGCCCCTGTCTTGCAAACATTTATGCACATGCCTACCCTCATAATTCACAGCCCCGAGGCCCAGTTTGGTTCCTGGTTTCCCCCTCACTCCCTCGGGAATGTAATCTTCCCCCGGCCTTCCTGGTTGAGATTACTTTCCTCTCTGCACTGGCTCAGTTGTGCTGGCGGGTATGTTGTGAGAATGGAATCTAGGCTTTGCCCAGTCCTTGGCCCTGCCCTCCCACTCCTTGTCCACCTGCACAGGAAGGGGGGTGGCAGATCCACAAAGGCTAATGCAACCTAGAATATGGGAGTCACATAGAGGATGAAGGAGGCAACTTACACTACCTCACTCCCTTGCTGGGGAGCACAGGGTGAGCCAGGATCTCTCCCATAATAAATATTGTTGGGCAGGAAATTATAGCAAAAATAACTGAACATTCCTGCTGAATGTATTTAAGTTATTATTAACATTCATTTTAATACCTAAAACCACATGGTGGTGGTGATTTTTGTTTGTTTTTGGTGTTTTTGTTTTGAAGGTGGGGGTGTAAAATTCAGCATTTTCTTTTGTTTCCCCTCCCCTCCCCTCTTACTCCTTCAGGAAGCACCAAGGGTCATGGCAAGCGTTAGAGAGCAAAGTAAGGCAGGATCTGATAAGCAAAGGCTTGGAGAAGATGCATTCTGCAAACAGGAGTAAAGAAAGGTAAAGAAAAAGTTAGTACTTGCTATGGGGGAAAATACAACTCCTTGTACCTCATATCTCCCAAGAGTTGTCCTTTTTGTGAGAAGTGTTTTAGAATTCATGAACATACTCACAAATGTATATCTTCTACCACTGTTGTCCTGGTTCTCAGAATGCATGTGAATATGAAACTCATGTTTCATAAAGCATCCTGTACACTTACTGTGCAATAATATTAAAGTCTTGCAAGGGAAATATTGATGCTCCACATGTTTTGCCCACTTGCCTCCTTGTATGTAACATTTGTTATAAGGCTGCTTACTCATTGGATGTTATATTTCATACAGTAAAGTGGAAATTGGGTTGGGGTGGTGAAAATGATGCATACAGTATGTCAATTTCTAAATATGGTTTACATTAGTCTCCCAAAGTACAATGAATATTTTTTTCCAAGATTTGACTGTACAGTCAAGCGAATCATTTTGTGCCGGAACTATTAATTTTATAAATCATTTTTAAATTCAATTTCCTTTTCTTAATATAGCCTGCTAAAGAAGAAGCAACTTGCACTCATGGAAAGAACATCATTCTCTCCTCTCGGATGTTTGTCTAGACACCCTCCTGTGGAACCTTCTGGCCAGCCTGATTCATTGAACACTGCTGCTGGAGAAGCCATTGAGCTATTAGACACAGGGGAGAAGATATTTCTGTTCCGTGATCAAAGGGATCCCATACTTGCTTTGCATAGTTCTCCAAGAAAAAAGAAAAAGAACTTCCTAAATTCCAAGAAGACTGCGTTGGCAAACATGGGCTAATGAGGGAGATAGCCATTCAGTGCATCAATTAGTGAGAGGAAGTTTATTTCCAAATAAGGATCATGAAAAAGGAGAAAATCATCTGAGTCATTGTTAAAAAACAATTTTTGTATAAGTTGCAATAGTTTGATTTTTGCATTGTAAATAGTTTTTATTCTTACAACTGGATTTTGCACTCGTCATCCAGCAGTGCAAAATCTATATCTATTAATTATTGTTTTAGTGCACACAGGAGCAGTAGGTGAATTTGTGTCATACTCTGTGATATACATTACATAACTGAGGGCAGGATGTAGTGCTCATATAATTCATTGTATGAGTTTTGTACTCTCAGCGTACGCGCAGTGTGCCTAGCCATTTGATAGCATCGTCTTCAGCCAGGTGAAGAGCTGGTAGCTAGCCGTCAGCGGGCACTTGTCAAAGATATGCAACATAGTCTGAAGTTGGCCGCATCTACATTGTGGGCCATTAGAGAAACCCCATTTGAAGAGATTGGCCACACAATTGCCCTGTCCTGTTTGAAACTGGTTCAGGGAAGCCCACACATGCTTTGGCAGGTCTGATGGTTGAGGCAGTGACGAGAGAGTGATTAATGACTATCACTGCTGACCACTCATTACGCCAAGCAGATTCCACCGTGATGTCCTGTGGTGGTATAAGTGACCATAAAGAGTATCTAGAAGACAGGTGAAGTTAGCAGGTGGTTGAAGAGGTCTGAGTACGGAGGCAAGTCACATTTCTCACGGATCTTGGCCAGGAGCATGATGGAGACCCCCTCGTGGCGAATATGGGGCGGAGCTATGTTACTAAGTATTGGCAGCCATGGCAACGGAGTTGCACATAACATCCCAGTAACCGTGCATAGCTTTGTCAAGCTCTACATCAACCAGCCTCGTGTGAGATGAGCGACAGCAGACAGGAGCACAGTACTCTGCTGTTGAATACTGATTTGACTGTTTGCTATATTTTTATTATTGTTTATATGTGGTGGTAACTTATGTGAAATCAACCCCTGATTAATTATTGCAGGATACAGTACTAAATAGAGATAAGGATAAGGAAAAACTGTATACCAGATAACTCTGGTAATTATTAATAAATAGTTTGTTAATAACCACTATAAATTGGGTTTTATTTTTGCAAACTGCTTCCTAAAATTACAGCTAGTGGACTAGATCCTCCAAACACTTATGCATGTGCTTAATTTTGCTCACCAGAGTAGTTACATTGGCTTCAGTTTTTCACCAGCTTCCCCAAACTTGACTGAGTTTGGCTCAGGCATAAATGTTCGCGAAATCTGACCCAATCTTTGTACTAGTGGAGCAACAATATTGTATCTGCTCACAGACAAAGAGGGAAAATGGGAATTATATTATTTTCCTAAGGCATTAGTGATCACAGTGTTACCAACTATAACGGCGTCGACCTCTCATGAGCACCCCCTTTCTCTGGCCAATGTACTTGCAATCACAATTCTTTTTCACGGGGCGGCACTCACCTCTTGTGATGGCCCCCTTTGGTTAGTTGGGTGTGAGCCTGCTTTTGTTTTTTGGTCTTACATCAGGATGCCCCCCGCCTCTAGCAACCCCCCCCCCCCCCCCCCAGCTGATCTTTCGGCGGGCCTTCAGCAGCTCAGCCCTCCGGCCGAGCCTCACAAACTGTCCCCCCCTTCTGGGGTATACAGTCCCAAGTTCTTATCGCAGCCCTGGTGTGGGGCCGTAGCCCTTAGGCTTCCTCTCAGAGGCACTGCCTTCTTCGACCGCCCAGCCCGGGGCCCATCTCAGTACCCTCAGCTAGTGTCCTTTCAGCAGCCCTCCCTGGTCTCAATCTGCAACCAGACCAGCAGGCCCATCTCGGTACCCTCATTTGGTCTGGCCAGGGTCTGTGCTCAGTCCCCCAGGCTCAGCCTGCCCACACTGACCTTTTCATGGTCCTGCTGCTGTTGTATTCAGTTAGCCAGGCACCCAGTCTTTGGCAGGCTTCCCTGGGCTCCATTCTGTCTGGTGAGCCCTCTGCAGTGAGCTGTCTGCGGTTAATCTAGCCAGCCAGGTATCCGATCATCCCTCTTCGAGTTCCACACAGCAACTGAAGGCTCTGCTCTGCTGCTTGCCTTTTATCTGGCCCTTCTGGCCCCTTATTGGTTGTTCCAGCAGCCCCTCTGATTGGCCGCTCCTCCGCTTCCACTCTAGGCTGCCTGGAGGACTTCTCGCTGCACTATTCTGGAGCAGGGTGACGCAGGGCTGCGAGGCCTCCAGCCAGGGGGCCTCTGGACCTAGTCCACCCTGCCACACCAACTCTCATAATTGTAGGTGTTTTCTGAAAGCTCTAGCTCCTGAATTCATGTGAAACCATAAGAATCTGCTCATTATTTAAAAAATAAGTTTTTAACCCTCATAACTGAGGGGGGAGGGGGCTTGAAAACATGAACCATAGAGGCACTGACACCAGAAGGCAAATAAAAAGAACCCCAAATTTATTATTTTAAAAATCTCACGATGTTTAAGACAGTCATGATTTTTAGAGCGTAACTCATCATTTTTGAATGCCCAAGTTTGGCAATATTATGATCACATACCCTGAAGCTGTTTGTATATTAGTGCTGTATATTTTTATATAAACAAGATGTCCATTTCCTTTGGGAAAGTAAACACTAATTGTATTTGTTTCTATAATTGATCATAAAATGGCAGAATTGCATTTATTTTGAACCTAAGTGGAAAAGTCACTTCTCTTTATAAAGTTAGGGATTTATTGTACAGTAAAGAACCATTAATATTTTTCAGCTACTAACACAGTTCTTGATTGTGTGGATTAATTAGCATCACATCCTGATAATCCAATAACAATTCTCAGCCTGTTCTTTATTATCCTCACTGAGTCAAAAGTGAATAAGGTTGTACCATGGTAGAAAAAGGCATTCTCAAGTAACGATTGGGTTTGAGACATTCAATTTACATCCTTCCTCGATAGATTACAGCCCTAATCCTGCTCTTATATGTAGCACCCATGGGCAATAGAATCCATGGAGTGAGCACATGATACCAGCGTGGTGGCTAGTTATAAAAGGGATTTAGTATAACGAACTGATTAATGTGTATATTATGTTTTGTGTGAGGCTTGAGTTGGGTGTTGAAATTAAATTACCCTTTTATTTATTTAGATTTATACAAAGTTAAATTGTTGAAAGCCTGTTATTGAACTGATAATAAATTATCTTAATTTACTGGGACCTGGGAGAGTGCTGAATATTATAGAAAGGAAATTAACTTTTTTTCCCCTCATACTCCTACCAATCTGTCAGGACAATAAGATAGATGGGAAGTCCTATCCTAACATCTGAATGCCTAGAAGGACTATGTGAACGGAGCCAAACAGCATGAAAAATGCAACAGTAGAGAACTGACAATGGAAAGTGAAATTGGAAGTTCTGGAAAGTCAATTTATAAAGACTAATAACATAAGAAATAGATTTGCACTAGAATATAAATATAATTGAACTTACAAGCAATACTGTCTGTCTTTGCCTTCATATTAAATGCAAGCTGCTGCTTTGAAAAAAGCAAAACTGATAGTCACTTACCTAATTATAGGAAAGAATAAAACAAGAAATACAATTGCTTCACTTAAACCATCTGATGATAGGTTTTTTAATAAAGGACAAAGCCATCAACAAAATTTTGAAAATGTTACAGCTAAACATTCCTGAGGCTAAAGCATGCTCTGAGATGATCAAAGCATTTTTTAAAAAATTCCCTAAAGTAGCCTTAAACCTAACCAGTAGCAATAACGTGTATGCTCCCATCCCTAATAAAGCAATAACAGAAATGAATAAAGCTTTTTTAAAAGCCCCAGGATGAGATGGCTTCCCAGCAGAATTCTTCTCAAAGTAGAGAGAGATTTTAACCCATACATTGTCAAATCTTTATAATGAAATCTTGTCATTAAAAACCCGCAGAATTGTTTTCAGAAGCATTTATTACTGAAAATCCCAGTAGAGATTCCATTAGTTGGATGGGAGGCCAATAGCTATAAATTATGAGGATAAAATGTATGCCAAAATTCAAGATCTTGTGACTTAATGATTTTTTTTGCACATCCAGCTCACCCGGCCGCAAATCTAAATAGCTCAACAGTTGTAATCTCCTTGAATGAGGTAAAGGCATCCCATAGATGAAATAATAAAAAGCACACTTCCATAATGCATTATATTTTTAAAGAACTATATAAATATTGAATCTCAAAACATCTATATTCAATAGATAATGCCCCAGTCCTTCACTGATTAAACACACATGTTTAACTGTGAGTAGTCCCAGTGAAATTATGGGCGTATGACAGTATGTGAAGGGGTGTGTGTGTGTTTGTTAGTGTGTGCAAATCTTTGCAGAATCAGGACCTTAGTAAATAGTCTCATCCCCATTTTACAGATAGGAGATAACGCTGCCACGGACTAGCTGAGTGAACATTTCTATTCGTTTTAGGGTTGTTACCTGTTACAAAGAAAAGTTTTATGGAGCAAAGGGCCAGATCCTGCAAGGTGCTGAACGCCACTTGGGAGTCGGAGGGAGTTGAGGGCATTCTGCACCTTGCACAACCAGGTCCCAATGTGCTGCCACTCTGGTCTAATCCCCTCCTGAAAAACAGATGGAGCCAAAGTAGAAAGATAAAAGGATCTGATGTGGGGGGTCTGGTCTTGTGAAGCTCACTGCACTACTGGGGCCTAAAAAATAAATCCCATTCATCTGACAACTTTTCCTGTAGATTCTCCACCTGGCTACAGAATTCACTTTATTAAACAGTGGAGTCAAAGGTTTTGGAAATGAGAGGCCCCTCTAATGAACAGTTCAATGACCCTGGAGGAGCTCACCTGCTTTCCCTTGAAAGCTTTAAATATTTTTCACCATCTCCTGACTGTTGATAAGCAGCAATACAATATACTTGGAATATTTGGTCTCCTTAGGGACTCTCTCCCCTCCCCCTGAGAAAATAACATCCACTCAGTAGGTGGAAGTCGGGCAGGATCAGCAAATGCTACATTCCCCTCCCCTTACCAACAGCCCTCCTGCTTATCAGTGCACCCACTAAGGTAAAAAGAGATCCCGCTTTAAACTGTAGAAGCCCTAGAAAAATAACTAATGAAAAGAATCAGGGGAACTAATAATAAATTCCCCTTGGCAGGGAACATTACTCCAGGACACAACAATTTCCTTGCTAGTAATAGTGTAAATTATTAAAGAAAAGAAAATAACTCCTAACAAAATGACTTGCATAATAAACATGTCAGTTTAATAAACATTAGTAGCTTTATCCTTCATACCTGAAGGGTACTTTGCCAGAATTTACAAATTAAGATGTTTTTAACCAGCAATTTTAACCCACTGGTGAGCACAAATTATTTTTCCCCTATGCAGTGAGGGGGTGAGTCTGTTACAGCTCCCAGACACAGAGCCAGGGCCCAGATCCTGGACTGTAGCTCTTTACCTGCGTATTTAGGGGCCCAAGCTTACTGTTCAGGCACCAGTGACATTTTCAAAGCCACTGCTCAGCTGCTGCTGAAACCTGGAGGTGCCCATGTCTCCTAGATACCGACATTGCTGCTCGTTGGAATTGGCAAAGCCACCTAATTGCTGATGCCATCCCGCAGCTAATGAGATGCTCAGAGCTCAAGCCAAAGGCCGGGGGGCCCCAAAGTGGGATTCTCTAGTCTAGCTATTCGGGGACTTGCCAGTTTCTCCAGCGAGGCCCATCCCATAGGCAGACTCAGAGCAGGCCTCGCACCTGTGACCTGACAACCCCCACAGCAGGAGGGCTGGAGGCAGCCTATCAGTAGGTAAAGGGGCACACCGAAGACGACCAGGGACACAGAAATGTAGGGGAGTGTGAAAGAGGTCTCAAGGGTGACAGAGAAATGGTTTTGGCTGGTAGGACATTGGGCTACCTAAGTGGCTGACCTACCTTAGGTGCCTATCTCCAGGAGAGGGTTTGTAGCTGAGGATCCCAAGCGGAGAGGCACATATCTCTGGCATGTCAACCAGGGCAGCTGATTAAGCACCTAAGACACCCCCACCCCCTTTTCTAGGCATTTCACTCCTGGCTGGCTTAGGTGGATCACCTTTGTCCGGCTTGTCTTCATCCATCCCTCCACAAACACCAGACAATTCTGTTTTGTTTCGAGCGCATTCTTTCCATTTCTGGCCAAAGAGTTTTGTCATGGGATCGGCCCAGCGCATTTTTGGTCTGCCCAGCGGTCGCTTGTGGTCTCTGGGGATCCAGTCACTGATGCGGGTTGTCCACCTATTGTCTTACCTGTGAACTACATGACTCGCCCATCTCAACTTTGCGTCGTGCATTGCCTGCACTACATCGGTCACCTCTGTACGCCTTCTGATCTCCTCATTCGGTATATGGTCACGGAGCGATATCTTGCACATTCGCCTTTCCATTGCTTTCTGGGTGACAGCGAATTTTTCTTCCTCCGCTTTCATTGTTGACCAGCTTTCCAGCTTAGGTGAATGGCTTCTGAAAATCCCTTCCTCAGGCACCTAGCTCTCCCCACGC